CCCTTTGCACGGGGCGCTACACATGTATTCTAATTGTGGGGGCCATTGCAGATCCTCCTCACTTAAAATCCTGCTGTAAGGCCGCCGCAAACAATATATCCTTTTGTAGAGGCCGCTACACAAGGATTTTAATTGTTCGGTCATCAGCACCCTACAAAATAGCGACAGTCACCGGTTTTCCTAGTTTTTTGTTTTCCCTGGTGAAAACACGGGTTTGTTCATGGTTTTCCTGTTTTTTCCTTGTTTTCCTCTTTAGCTTTCCTGGGCCCAGGGTGCTGCCACTGCATATGTCCCACACTTAAAACCTTCTTGTAAGGCCGCCGCAAAAAAGGAACCCCTTTGTACAGGGTGCTACAAAAGGAATTTATTGGTGGAGGCCATTGCAGATCCTCCACATTCAGAATCTTTTTGTAAGGTCGTCACAAAAAGAACCCTTTTGTAAAGGCATTACGTCAAGATCTTGGGAGAAGAGGAAGGAACGGGAAGATGAAGAAGAACGAAGACGAAAACTGGTGATCCCTGGCGTTCCAATCGCCAGGAAACCTAAAGACATTTGGTTGTAATCGCACGAACGGCGGGTCCTACTCCTCTCCCCTCCTCCCCTCTCCTCCGAGCCGCGGCGACTGCGGCCGCGACCGCGGCGTGGGGCGGGCCCCGCGTCCCCCAGGGGCATCGGTAGGAGGGGTCAGGCTCAGGGTGGGATGCGTCGGCCCCTGGCCGCCCGCTGCTAGCCGATACAGGCCCGACAGCCAACCCCGCCCAGGACCGTGGGGACTCGTTATGCATCGGGGGCCACTCGCCGATCTGTTGGCGACGTATCGCCGATTCCAGGTCGATGCTTCCCCCACTGAGCGATCGTTGCCCCACCCAGCAAGGCCCCCTCGGGTGATGACAAAATTCCTTGGGCCTCCGGGGGGCCTTACCGGGCCGTCAAAAACGACTCGGGATGAAACGCGGGTTCCGCGGAATGGGTCGAAAGTTCTTGGGTTCGACGTCGCGAATAATCACGACGCTGGGGCTGTGGGTTCCCAGCTCTCCGACGATCTAAGCATAGTAAACTTTCAGAGGTCCGCGCGGATCTCTTGGATCGGCGCTGGGGTCCCCCTGGCGGCGCATCTGGCCCGGCTCCTGGCGCGCTCCGCGCGCCAGGTAAAGGGGTCCAGCGGATCTCCGACAGTTCATGCTTGTGCAGGATTTCTGTTTTCTAACATCTCATCTCTCGAGGTTCGAGAGGACGGGGGCGGGCTTCGCGTCGCCAGACCTCCGACGATGTTTTGTTTTTTTGTTGCTGTTTTGTTGTTGTTATCTGGGGGGATTTAAAGAAATGCCAGGCGGGCGTCGCTCCTCCATGCTTCTGCTTGATTGCCCGGGACCCCGTCGTCGGGCCGCGGATTGGAATATCGGAGGCGGCTCAGAGGGGTTGGTGATGATCTCAGGGGGGGGCATATCGTGGCGGGGGCCATGATATCTCCCTAGATTTCATGGCACCTCTCCTTATCTCAATGCGTCCCGGGCCCTCCCCTTGGCCGCGCACGTGCCGCCGGCCATGGTTTGCGAACCCCCCTCTGGGACGCCCCCCTCCCCAGACACCGGGCATCGTCATTGTTTCGTGACGCCGACCCCCAGAGGTCTGGACCCCTTCCTCGGGATCGGTTTTTCCGTCCGAGCCGCTCTTGACGGCCCCGAGGCCCAGGGAGGGCCCCCCAGCGGTCGACCATGGCGAGACGCCTCCCGTCGTGACCTTCTTCGCAGCGCGAGGGGGTCGGGGCCCTGGGCGCCCCCAAAGGAGAGGCACCTCGCCGGAGGTCCGGGCGCCGGGTCTCTCGCAGCGGCTCGCGGAGCCCAGGGGCGCGCGCGCTCGGGGCGGGCGGCGCGTGGGGGCACGGCCGGCCCTCCACGAGGAGGCGGGATGCGCTGCTCGGGAGGAGGGGGCCTGCTCCTCGGGAGGGCCCCCGGAGGCTGCCCGTGGGGGGCTTCTCAGGAGCCAGGCGCGAGGGGGCGCGAGCCTCTACGAAGAGGCGGTGGTGCGCTTCTCTGGACGCGGGGGCCGTCCTGGAAGGGCACCATGGGGGGCTTCCTGGGAGGGCTTCTCGGAAGTCGCGAGCGCCTCTCCGAAGCCCCCTTGCCTTCTTAGAGGGCTTCGTAGAAGGCGCCGCCTTCTCAGAGGCCCCCCCACATCGCGCCTTCTCGGAAGGGCCCAGAGGCTTCCGAGAGGGCTTCTCGGAAGCCCAGAGGGCCTCTCAGAAGTTCTCCTGCCTTCTTACCCTGAGATCCTGGCGTTGCAATTTTTTCACGACGGGCGTTTTCGTCCCGTTTGGGAGCTGGTGATCCTCACATATTGATCTGCCTCGAAAAACGCTGCAGGAAGATGGGGTCCGGGGCTCCGGTCGTGAATTTTGGCGATGTTGCAATTCTGTCGCAATGTCGGATCTCAGGTAGAAGGCTTCGTAGAAGGTGCCGCCTCAGAGGCTCCCCTGCCTTCTCAGATGGCCGCCCCCCCTATCGCGCCACCCTCCTGTGCGCGCCGCCGACTCTCGATGGCTCACGGAACGCAGGATAGCACAGCGAGGGTTTGCTTCGCCCAGAGATGTTTTTTTGTATCCTCTGTCGCGTAACGGTCGTTCCTCAGCCCCGCCCTTCGGGTAACGCTAACGATCGCACGTAGGGGGAGTGGGCCTGGACCCCCCCGCCACATCCTGGTGCTCGCACGTATTCTATGGCGATCGCAGCGCACCTGAACGACCGTTGCTGGAAGTAGTAGAGCAGCAATCTCCCACCCCGCCGATGACGTGGGAGCCCGTGGTGGCCTTCAGCGCACCGCGCTCCAAATACACATGCTCTCCCTGGCTGGCGCCGCTCGGCGTTATCCCCGCATTTGTTCGTCCTGCACGCGCCTGGTCTTGGCTGCGCAGCGGTCGGCTGCGTTCGTTCCTCGCTGGAGGTTCCAGCATTGCTCACGCTGCCACGCAAGGTGGTTCATTGACTTCGTACGCCGCCCGTCTATGTTGTATTTGACCTCCCTTTTTGCTACCCATCGGCGCGCCAGAGGAAGTGTGTGCGTGTGTGTGTGTGTGTGTGTGTGTGTGTGTGAGTGTGTGTGTGTGTGTGTGTGTGTGCGTGCGTGCGTGCGTGCGTGCGTGTGTGTGTGTATACGTGTGTGTGTGTGTGTGAATGTGTGTGCGTGTGTGTGTGTGTGTGTCTGCGTGCGTTCGTGCGTGCGTGCGTGCTTGTGTGTGTGGGTGCGTGTGTGTGTGTGTGTGCGTGTGTGTGTGAATAGATTGTGAGGGAGTCCCACGCGAGAGCGTGATTCCGGTATACATTGCGAGGAAGTCCCGCGCGAGAGCGCGATATTCGAATACTTTGTGAGGGAGTATGAGGCGGGGGCCATTGTTGTTGTTGTTGTTGTAGTAGTAAACCGGGGCCAGGGGCCCAGTTTGGTAACACCTCGGTTCCCTTCGGAAAAGAGGGTGTGAGCCCCGGGAAAAGCATAATTGAAACATGAAATGGTTACCGGAGGAGGGGATCAGCAGTAATCATTATTAAGAAATAAACATACAACAACAACAGCAACATCAACACCAACAACACCAACAGCACCCCAACACCAACAACAACATCAGCAACGCCTCCAGCAATAAGAACAACAACAACAACAACAACAACAACAACAACAACAACAACAATCATTTTACCCGAACGCGTGGTGTTCTCCCCAGTGCCAGGGTTTTCATACGACACCAGGCAATACCCCCACTTCGTGGGGGGGCATTACAAGCTCTACCAAATATCCAAACGACTCTTCGCGACCACCCAAACCCAGCTTCCCGCCCTATGACGTTGGGACACTTCACTTCGTGGCGTGCGGACGACCGTGGCTACTACACTGGCGGGCAAGGGTTTTTGGAGATTTCGGCGTGCGCGCGCGAAGAAAAAACGAATGTGTCCCGCATGGTATTATTTGACAGGGATGATGGCCCTGGCAGGTGCGCAACCGTTGTCGCAGAAGTTCGAAAAAGTTGCTCGCAAAAGCCCGTTTGACAGAAATGTTTAAAAAGTGTTGGGTTTCCTACGAATCCGCAAGAGCGCGCGGGATGAGATTTTGACATTTTTTTGTTGAAAAACCATTGGTTTTTTGATGTTTTTATGTTAAAATCGCTCCGAACACTAAGCTTTTGGAAGGATTTCGTCTTGCGCGCGCGAATGTCCACTTTACCTTATTTTTTGCAAGGGATTCTTGAAATTTGATTATATTAGAACAAGAAATGTCATTTTATAGTGTTTTTTGCAAGGGAAAGCGGGGGGGAACAAAACAACCGGATCTTGATCACATCGAATTACCTGAGGCTTCCTCACGAAAATGATGAAAATGTAGCTGCGGCCTAGGCGGCGCAGGGGGGGCGTGCACCAGGGGGCCCAACAATAATTATTCTTTAGAATTAATAATGTTCAACACCAACACCAGCACCAGCAACACCAGCAACACCAACAACACCAGCACCAACAGCAACAGCAACAGCAACAGCAGCACCAACAGCAACAGCAGCAGCAACAGCAGCAGCAACGGCAACGGCAACGGCAACAGCAGCAGCAACCACAGCAGCAACAACAACACCAATCCGCACCGCAGAGCCTCACTTCAGCCACGCGCCCAGGGACAGTGAATGACCGTTCGGCCCACTCACTCTGATTATTTCCTGGTCTTGCTGCACGACCGCGTTGCGGTAGCCATTCATCGCCATGTAGTTGTGAAACTCGCGCGCCACTTCCGCCGCACGCCTGGGCGCCCCTCAAGCCGCGGGCGTGTGTGGTCCAGCGACCTGTCACTGTGCCGACACGCGGTACGCGGGCACGCGTGCGGCTCCCCCTCTCTCCTGAAAGGGTTTTGGCCCACTAAGGCTTGAGCGGAGGAGGAGGAGGAGGAGGAGGAGGAGGAAAAGGAAAAGGAAAAGGAGGAGGAGGAGGACAAGGAGCAGCAGGACAAGGGACAGGAGGAACGACAGGACCATTGGGAACCTCAAGGCGGTCGAGGAGCCCAAGAGGACGAGGCGCACGGGGCCGCGCATCTCCATCTATCGTTTCTCGCTCCCGTTCTGCCTCTCTGCCTCTCTCTGCATCTCTGCCTTTTTGTTCCCTCTGTCCCTCTGCCTCCTCTGTCTCCTATGCATCTCCGTCTCTCTACCTCCCTTCCTTAGTGCCTTCCTCTGTCACTCTGCTTCCTCGCCTACCTGCCCCTCCCCCTCTCTCTGCAATGGTCCCGCTAGAACCACTGCCCTTTGCTGAATCCTTAGTGACTAATGTCCTGGTAACTCTCGATGGCAAAGTCGTGGAAGTACGGGCAGTGAGAAGCGCGAGGCTGCTCGCGCGATGGTGATAGAAGGGAGCTGTTTGCTGTTGCGGGCCAGCTCGCAATCGTGCGCCTCGCAGGCGCACACCAGAAATCCAGCGACCTGATGTCGCTGTAACAGGCTTGAGCCAAAACGGTTTCGGCAGAAGCGTCTTGGGAAGCGTGTGAAACGCTTATAATGAGCCTCTGAGGCTCGTTGCTCTTCAGGGCCCTCGGGGAGACCATCAAGCATGGCTAGGCTGCAAATCGAGTGTAGGAAACACGATACGCCGTGAAACGCAGACTTACATAAGACGGGGGCTCCTGTGGAGCCTGAGTGTACATAGTAGCTCACACTCGGCCTCTAGAGGCCATCTGTCGTAAGTAGGCTCTGGTCAGGCAGGCTCTGGGCTGTGAATTGCACTCTCTGCCTCATCAGCTGCAACTCCCTCTCTCTCTCTCTCTCCAGTCTCGGCTCGAGAGCGCTCGTGCTCAGGGCGAAGCCAGGACACGTAAGCTTCCGTGCCATTCAGCCTTATGAGACCGTAACCAGATCAATCACAAAAGTCCGACACGTGCCACATCCCACGCGCGCGCGCCATGGCTCCAAACGGCTCCCGCCGTGCCCCCTGCAACACGGCAGCCTAAGCCACCAGGCAATTACCGCCAACCGGTAGCCTGGCCAGATCGCAACCTGCTCCGAAAGGAAGCTTGCGTCGCGGCATTTCGGAGCTTTGGCGGCGTCGACCGAGCAGTCACTGCACACAGCGAATTTGCTCACAAGCGTCACGCCGATCTCGGCACCATCTACCAACAACACCGCTCCGACCAACGTCGGCTCAGGGGCGAGCTAATGCGACTGACATGGGAAGGCAGATCAGCAACACAATGCTGCACAACTCCCTCATGCAAAACAGGCAAAACAAAAGCCTCAGAACGTGACTCGCCAGGGACCACGGTCGATGTCGATGCCCACAAGGTTAGCAGCAAGGTTCCTGTCATCAGCTTGGATGCACAGAGCTGGGACGTCCCTGTGACCACCGCGCCCGAGAGAGGAACATGGGACGTCGTACAATATCATCTCACTTCGCACGCTAGAGGAAGGCGACCGCCTGCTACAGCATATCGAACACAAACCGAACCCCTAGCGCTCGCAGTCGGGCCTGTCAACACCGAGTGCCCAGGACGCGAGATCGTCATCCCAGCACTCAGCCGTACGGCCAAGGCTACCACGCTAGCGCCAGGACGCATTCAAATGACCAGTTGGCAGCTTGTACGGGACGATGCAACACGCGCCCAAAACGTCATCCCAGTCACCCCAGCTGACAACGTAGTTTCAGTCCGCGCCGCTATGCGCGAGGCTAGTGCTGTTGCGGTCACGCCCGTGCTCGAGGAATTGTTCGCGGCACAGGTCTCGGGCGTTGCACCCATCAACGGCAGTCGCTGCCTAGGCGGACCAGGCACGGCACAACAAAAAGCGAAGGAACGCCATAAATCAGCCGAAAGAGACGCCTCTCGCCAACAGCTCGACGACTACCTGACGGACGCATTAGCGCCTTTGTTTTCGTCCCGCTTCCGCACTGTGCAACTACAAGAAGCCATGGAGTTCCCAAGACGCCATGGCGTAGCAGTTGGAAAGCGCAGGCACACGGCCAGCTTCGGCAGTAAACCCGCCGACGTCGAACTGGTCCTCTCCACTTCTGGGCAAGGAGGCATCCACTTCGACATCAGTTACCATGCCACCAAAGGCCCCCCCGCCCAGCGACAACATCACAGTGTGGTAGTCGGATGATCACCAGACCATGTTACCATAGGCGTACAACACCCCAGTGAAACACAACGTGTGCGGTGCAGCCCGTGCGGACAACGGAGTGGGCATCATAGCGAAACGCCCGACATTCGGCAAGCGACGCACGTCGCCATCGAGCTTCGGGGACGTGACGGTGCGCTTGCCAACGTCAAGTGCCGCATCACAGGGATCGGGCCGCAGAGCGCCACCAGGACGCAATTTGCCGAGGTCCTCTCATGCATGATGTGGCACTGTGAAGGCCAGCACGCAGGGTGTGACAGCATGGCCAGGGGCGATTTCGCCACGGTCAAAGCGACCAGCCCGCAACCGAATGCAGAGGTCCACGTCCAGGGTCGCACTACTCCCTGGACTGTCGTGAAGATTGAGACGCCCACTCCTGTAAAAAAGCCAACTCTCCGAAAGCGCCAGCGGCAACGATCGTCTCGCCAGAGACCATCGCGACGGAGAAGCCTGTGGCGGGGCCGCCCACTGGGGGAGCAGGGGCAAGCCCATCTTCATCCCTACGGGGCCGTGCGGCCACCGGGCCGTAGCTCCAAGCGCTGCTGCAACCACGTCCGAACCTGAAAGCGCCACTGCTTCCGAGCACCCCGCCGCCGGGGAAGCAGCCGTGCAGCGCCAGCGTTTAGGGGTCGCGCCAACGAGCCAGCAGCGCCAAGACGGTGGCCAATGTCACACCCGACCAGAGCCCATTCGCCCTAACAGGCGCGGACGACCGCGATATAGAGGAAGATGAAGCCACCGAAATCGAAGGCGCCAGAACCCCACCCCGGCCCGTGACCGAACAGCACGATGCAATGGGCTACGAGGACCGCTCCGACGAAGAGTGGCTGCCAAAACCAGGCGTCCTAGGTATCTCCGACCAAGCGGATGCGAGGTTCCGAGGCCTGGAGGCCGACTGGCAAACGCTGACCGACACTGTCAGGCGGCTCGAAAGAAGTGTCGCCATCGTGGCCAGCAGCCAGGCCACCCTCGTTCAGCAATGCCACCAGCTCGAGCGAGACATCCACGCGGTCCGTCCCGACGAACAGACCGGCTGGAGCGCACGGGCTTGATGGCCCCTGTGCGCCAAGCGACACCCCTCGTGTCGGTGGCCCAGGCTCGAGCGACCCTGGCTGCACTGAGCCCGCCCCTCCCCGCCCCGAGCCCCCGCGGAGCAGCGGGCGAGGCCGGCCCCGCGGGCGGCCCCGAGGCCCAGGCGGCGGGAGGAGGCCGGCGGGGCGCCCGAGGCCCTGGGCAGCACGCGGCCCGTGGCCAGCGCCAGGGCCGCATCGCCGGGGCCTCGGCGGGCCCCCCTCGCCCAGTCGAGGCGCTTCGCGCCGAGGGGTCATGAACACGAGCTGACAGGGAGCACTGCGAAACATCGCAATTCACACAATAAAAGCATGACTCTGCAGAAACACAACAAAACAATAAAAAACATAGAACAAAAACCCAAAACAACAACAATGGCTCTTGCAGGGGCAGGGGCACTGAGGGGTAGCTCATAGCTTGGATCGGGATGGCCACAGCCCGCCAGTTTCTGTCCAGTCGGGGTTCACACAGACCACGCCTGAGGGGAGGCCATCCCACCACCCTTGAGTTTTTTGCAAGCGGCGCCTCCCGCCTGGTGGTGAAGGCCTGCGGGGCGCTTGTAGCCTCGGGGCCTGGACAGACCTGTTGTCCGAAGTGTTGCGCGCGCGCGCTCTCTCTCCCTCTCCCCCTCGCTCTCGCACTCTCTCGTCTCTCTTTCTGTCTCTCTCAGACTCTCTCTCTCTCTCTCTCTCTTTTTTCTTTCTTTCTCTCTCTCTCTCTCTTTCTCTCTCCCTTTTTTGGTTCTCTCTCTCTCTCTCTCTTTCTATCGTTCTCTCGTCCGTTCTATGATCCTCATTTTGTTCCTCCATGGCCCAGTGTGTGTGTGTGTGTCTATGTTTGCCGTTGCATCTACATCCACCTCTTCCTCTACTCATGGCTCAATCAGTCAGTCAGTCGGTCTGTCTGCCTCCTGTCTGTTTGCGTGTCAGTCTGTCTGTCCGTCTGTGTCTCTTTCTCACTCTCTCTTTATGTCCCTCTATATGATATACGCCCCTCCCTCTCTCAGTGCTTACTGCGTGCAACTATAGGGGATATCAATTCAGCTCCATGTTTGTATACTATCTGTCGTACTATTTATGTGTGTATGCATGCATGCGTGCATGCGTGCCTGTCTGTCTGTCTGTCTGTCTGTCTGTCTGTCTGCATGCATGCATGCATACACAGTTGTATATGCATATATATATATATATATATATATATATATATTCATATATATATATGTGTATATATATATATATATATATATAGATCCATAATACATACGCCCCCCCCACCAGGAGCCTCCCCCACCTCCGTGACATTTGGGGGCAACTCCTGGTACCGCGCCCCCGGGCCTCCCAGGGAGGCCACAAAACGCCCCAGGACGGCCCAAGACGCCCCCAAGGAGCCCTCAGAACGCGAACGGACGGCCCACGACGCTCCCAAGCAGCCCAAGACAGACTTCCGACGGCTCTCCAGGCTCTCAGGATGCCTCCGAGAGGCCCCAAGAGAGCTCCGAGAGGCGTCCCGGGAGCGCCCGAAAAGGCCCACATCTTTTTTTTAGCCTTCTCGCGTTGTCGAGCTTTTACTGCTCCAAGACGGCCGAAAAAGGCCCCCAAGACCGCCCCAAGGCCGCCCAAGAGCCCCCACGACGGTTCCAAGGCGGGCCAAGAAGGCCCCGAGACGGCCCAAGAGCGCGCCGAGGCAGCCCAAGAGAGCCCCAAGATGGCCCGAAAAGCCGGCCAACGGGGTAACGCAAGTCGACAATCCGGGCTTTCCGCTCCAAGAGGCCTCCAGGAGGCCCCAAGAATCCCCCAAAGAGCCTGAAGAGGCCCCCAACAGCCTCGAAGAGGCCCAAAAGT